AGATAAGAGTCTCATGGACTTTTCTGCCTGGGCTGCCTTTGAACCACGATCCTCAGATCTCAGCTTCCTGAGTAGCCCAACTATACTATACTATACTATACTATAAAAGTATAGTAGATATAAAGATAGGCCTTCCAGACTCCCCTTTTCAAGAGGGCACTTAGCTGGATAGTAAAGAACATAGTTATCTGCCTCCACTTCAGGGGTCATTCTAATTCATACTAACTCAGTCATACTAACTGGGAGTCAGTTGGTTCCCCATCATTATGAATTAACCAAGATGGTAGAAGCCAGGAGCATGTTCACCTTGGATGACCTTCAGCAAAAGCCCAGTTTAATTCCCACCTAGAGCAAAACTCTTAAGAGCCAAGTCTTCCACCACAACTCCCCATTGGGCTGACAGAGACTCTATCCCACATGATCAGAGTCTCAGCCATCTCCCCATTCAAATTGCTTTCTTCTCTCATCCTTCCACTAACCATTTCTTTCTAATAATTTTGCTCATTTCACTCTATTTTAGTGTCTGCTTCCCAAGAGTTAGGAAATGAAGCATGAATGTTACTGTGAGAGGAAGAATATTCTTAGCTTAAGAATATCTTCTTAAAGATGAAGCATACTGTTTGTATTTAGTGGATTATCAAACTATTCTGCTTTGTTGCTATCTTGAACATGCACAGCTTCACCAGCTACCTAGAGCACATTTCATTCTCGAATTTGGTACTTCATGGGTCATCTGATTCTTTTCCAGTCATGATCACCTTCCTACATAACCTTGTCTGTTTCCTGGAGAAGCAAGGAATGGTCAAATGACCAACAGAGAAATCTATTCTTAAAATGTGTTATCAACTCGGTTTAGTTTAATGTGTCAAATGCTAGAGTATTACATGCAATTTTAGCACAGTCCATTTTTGGAAGGCCCTTGCTGCGGCTTAGCCTTCTTTAGTGATCTCCCAATCAATATGACCCTCACTTCATGTTCAGAAAATACTAAAGAAGAAAAGAAAAGGCAGCTGTCTGTTAGGTTATACAGGATTTATTTGGTATCTTCAAAAACCAATCTGAGAAAATTTTCCACTCACTGATTTTAGCTGAGCTACCAAGAAAACAAGAAAATCCTTCTGCAAAATTTTCAATAAGATGATATTATCTGAAGACCTGAAGCGTGAAACCTGGATTACAACCGCTGACAAAAAAAAAAAAAAAACAGAATGTAATGCCTACAAAAAATAAAAAGTATTTCTGCAATTTAACAATACATTGATAATGTATATATTCAATAGTAAAAGTAATTCCAAACTATTAAAAAAGAAAATATCCCACCAATATGCACAATTATCATATTAAAATGTTGGAGTGAAAATATTGAGCTTTTAATATTCTACATAATAGATTTTTGTCATGATTTAGAGATTTTCCTATAGTTCACAGATTTTCCTATAGTTAATATCTTATTTACAAGAGTGACTCTTGGCCGGGCACTGGTGTCCTAGCTACTCAGGTGGATAAGATCTGAGGATCATGGTTCAAAGCCAGCCCAGGTAAGAAAGTCTATGAGACTCTTATATCCAATTAACAACTAGAAAACTAGGAGTGCCACTGCAGCTCAAAGTGGTAGAGTGCTAGCCTTGGGCAAAAAAGCTCAGGGACAGCACCCAGGCTCTGAATTCAAGCTGACACACACTAAAAAAAAAAAGTGACTCGGGCTGGGAAGGTGGCTCAGTGATAGAGCACTTGCCTTGCATGCATGAGGCCCTGGGTTTGATTCCTCAGCACCACATAAGCAAAAAGAAAAAAAGCTGGAAGTGGCAAGGTGGCTCAGGTGGTAGAGCGCTAGCCTTGAGCTGAAGAGCTGAGGGACAGTGCCCAGGCCCAGAGTTCAGGCCCCACGACCAGACCCCCCCAAAAAAAAAGTGACTCTTTTGGTCTTTACTGGTTTTGCTACAGAATTTAAATTTTAAAGCAAAATTCAAACTGAAAGTTCTAAAGTTATGTAACTCAGAAATTCTGCACTTATTTAGGTGTAAATTTTGACTTGAGTAATGGATTAAATGTGATTCATGAAGCCAATTCATCACTGTATTGTAAAAGACAAAGGGCAGGCTTTTTCATCTAGACACTTAAATTCACTATGGTAGATAGCCAACATAGCCACACAATATTCCCCATACCTATGCTCAGAATAATTGCTTATCCATCAAAAGGTACAGAATTTATCTACTCAGTGAGTTTGACTCAGCTCCTGAATTCCTGTGGCCACTGAACAAGCAACAAAAACAGTGCAAGTAGACAGGAAAAGTCTTTCTTTGAAACTTGCCCTCTGCCAATATTAGAGCTCCACAATCACTATGTGAAGGGGAAGCACATAGAGGAAGAAGGCAGTTACCCCAGCTGCACTACTAGGAACCAACCAACACTAGCCAATCTGCCAGGTGATACTCAAAGAATTTTGCCAAATGGCACTAGATCCTGGCACAAGATGTAAAGACTCTCCCAGATGAGCCTAACTCAAACTTCCATCCTACAGAATAATGACCTAAATAGTGGTTGTTTTGTGTTAAACCACTAAGTTCAGAGGGATGCTTGGCAATGCAATAGGTAACTGAGATAAAGATTTTTGCTGTTTACAAAGTATTTCTGAATCACTGAAGTATGAGCACCACTTTGGGGAAATGCAATCAAATATCAGCATTTATTCAAGGACCACAACTCTACAAGCTGGTATTTTGATTCTTCTACGCAGTTCTAACCAAGAGGACAGGTAGCATGAACATAATAAATGGAATGATAAGTAAACATGATAAATGGAATCTATATAAAATTTAAAGACAGGATCCTGAAAGTATACCATATATTTATCACTTAACTCCCCTAAATAAGATGATTTTAAGATAAGGCCTACCTACTACATATTAGTGATTTTAAGAAATCATTTAGATTTTTTAATCTAGAAACACTCATATAAATCTTGAGAATTTATATAAATCATACCTTTAATCATTTATATAAATACACCGAGTATATATTTTAAGGACACAATCAAAACAAATATTATCATAAATGCCCTAAAGATCATTACGCATGTTTAACATGCTGTAATTTAGATGAGCTTATATTGTAACAGGAAAATAGTATTGACACACCAGTAAAAATCAAACAAAATTGTGTGAGCTGATGGCTCACATCCGGGCTACTCAGGAGGCTGAGATGCAATGATCACTATTCAAAGCCAGACTCTTATCTCCAGTTATCCTCCAAAAAGCCAGAAGAAGAGCTGTGGCTCAAGTGGTAGAGCACTAGCCTTGAGCAAAAAAGCTCAAGGACTGCCTAGGCCCTGAGTTAAAGCCACGAGACCAGCTTGCACACACGCACATGTGTGAGGGGGCACACACACACACACACACACATAATTACTTTGTTGGCCTTTAACTTGGTTCCTAAAAGGAAGCCTCTAGAACCTTGGAATTTCCTACGTGATTGGAATGCCTTCCTCATTCAGGGCGAGTACCTTGGAGCACACCTGAGTTTATGCTAACAGAATGACTGTAGGTTCTTAGATAGTTTGAGAATGGAGTTTGGCCAAGCTGGAAAAGATGAGCAGATGGCTTGAGCTTTGTGCTATTGCCACACTGCCCTCCCACTCTCCCAAAGTGATTGTTTGGGGATTTGAGACTGAGTTCAAATCATGTAGTCAGTGATTCATAATCATGCGTGCACAACAAGGCCCCTAAAACAAAACTCTAGACACCAAAGCTCAAGTGCATTTCCTTGCTGTCATGCACTATTGCCAGGAGGGCAACCAGTGCTAAGGATGTGAGGATTCCGCATTTGGACTTGCCTAGACCTTGCCCTACAGATTTCTTTATTGGCTGATCTCTGATTTTTATCCTTTATAATACAGTGTCATCATAAGTATAGTGCTTTACTGTGTTTGATGAGTCTTTACAGTGAATTTTTAAGCCTGAGGGGGCAATGGGAACCTGTAGCCTGCTAATGAGAAACATGGTGGCCTTCGAACACAGATATGGACAGTGTTTAAGGCAAGGAGAATGCTGTGGAGAATGTATCCTTTACCTGTGGGTCTGACCTAACTCCATGTGGTCCGAATTTCAGTCCACATGCAAAACAAAACAAAAACAACACCAAAGACACAAAATGGCAGAGAGAAGGCAAGCTCAGTAGACAACAAAAGAGGAATAATCACAGCAGACACTCATGGAGTCAAAAACAAGAAAAAACAATGACAAGAGAAAATTAGAGATGGCAGTGGAAGAACTGGTCTCAACTACAGAAGGGGTTGGAATTCAGAACAGGATGTAACAAGTACTTAAGAGGCTGGGGAATCGTTCATTCACATAACAACCATCTATTAACACCTACTTACATATAGGCACTATGCCAGCCACTAAGAATATATGGTAAATTAAAAAAAGACCTCTCATGAAGCTTAATCTAAGAAAGGAAGGTATAAGTTAAGAAGTTCCACCATTACATAAGTAATTGTAACTGAATTAAAAACACTTATAGATAGGTCATTGATAATCTTAAGTAAACAGCTCTAGGGCTATACACTTTGATACTTATTTTAAGAACTTCATACATAAAAGTACAGAATAATGCACATTTAAAGGGGTTTCATCAATAACAAAAATAAAATCATCACTTTACCTTCCACTAAAAATAGCACATTCCTAACAAGTACCTTAAACGTTTACCATACTTACTTCTCAAATTCAGGCTCCCTTGATATACAGTTATAGTTCCTATGCAAATTTTTAAGTTGTTTGCTTTTTCTAATAAGACTGTCTCTTTAAATACATAGTTTTATGAAAATACATGTCAATTTCAACTTGTACATTTTTAATTAACTATATTTCTCCAGTTACTAATGATTACAGAGTTGAAATTCTTAGCAAACAGGTTAATTTTAAAGTTAGTTTCAGTATAAAATCCCTAACATTTCTTTCTACACAGTGGTAAACTAGATAACCAGAGTCTCTTACCTGTAGTCATCTAACTGTACCAGAAATCGCACAATGTCATGATGCCCTTTCAATACAAGCAGTTCAGTATAGGGGTTCTGGGACTGTTCCTCACCTATGGTCTGAAAAGCAGATTTCTTGCAATGGAAAAAAAAGGACAGAAAGAAAGAACATTATTTATAACTGCATGGTATCTACTTAAGAACATTTAATTTTAAAAGCTACAAGATGCTACCATCCTAATGCACAGCAATTGTTGCTTTCGTATCAACTAAGTAACTGCCATTCTATATTTTTCCTACCACAAATTTATGCCACAAATTTTAGTTATTTCCAGGTCACAATAACTTGTAAAAAGCATTTTATCTATATTATATCTCAGTGAATAGCAAAAATTAATGGGATAATCCAACTCAATGATTGAGGATAACTGAGAAACTATCAGTCCTCAATAAAAACTTGTTGAATGGGCTGGGAAGGTGGCTCAGTGGTAGAGCACTTGCCTTGCATGCACAAGGCCCTGGGTTCGATTCCTCAGCACCACATAAGCATAAAGAAAAAAGCCGGAAGTGGCGCTATGGCTCAAGTGGTAGAGCGCTAGCCTTGAGCTGAAGAGCTGAGGGACAGTGCCCAGGCCCAGAGTTCAGGCCCCACGACCGGA